GCAAGTTGTATAGAGAGGGGCGACTCTGTATTGTCCTGGTGATGCTTTGCAAAAGATGTCCAAGCCTGCATGTGATGTGTGAGATCAGGTTGCTTGGTTCACAGTTGCTTGTGTCAGGGCAACCGGGTTGCTTCGAGAGATTTGGACCGTTCTGCCGCTGGCCAGGTGCATGAAACTGTCAGCGAGGCAGTTGCCAAGCTGGGAATGGGTTTTGGCCTGGTGATGCGAGGCTGTGCTGCGCCGAGGGTTGGTTTGGTGCAGGTGTGGTTCCGTGGCTGAAATGCTGCATATAAAGTAGTGTAATTTGCAAATTCATTGTTTGGGTCTGAGGAACATGTTTGTTTTGGCACTGCGGACGAGAGTGTTCTCCACTTCTTGAGCTTTGCATGTGCAAAAAGTCCTTGCTAGCGTGCAAGGAAGCTTCCCAACGTAAGACATGGCGTCCTAGCATTGGTTGATTCAGGGGGTTGAATCAGGCCATTGACCCACTGCATGCCATTGACCCATATGGTTGCCTGGTTGAATCAGGGGAGGACTTCTTTGGCATTTTCGACAGCGAAGAGGCTGTCACGGCAGCCCTCATGGGTGAGGAGCGTGTGTGCCTTTTGTTTGTTTTTGTCCTGTTCTTTTGAACTTGACGATTTACTTGTTTGGACGTGAAGGACCCACCAACAACTCCAATGCAGAAGAGCAGCGTGCGGGTGGCTGGCCTCATGGTGTCGGCCAAGTCCGAGACATCACCCTCCTCCACGGGCAGTCCGGGAAGGGAACCCATACCTGAGGCTGGCCAGGATCTGGAACGTGATTTTTGTTTATCCACATAAAAGGAGAGTGTTAAAGGGGATCAAGAAGTAAGGTAAGGCCCGCTTGAACCTGGCTTTCAACCTTTCTTTCAATTCTGTCTTGTTTATTGCTTTAGGTTGATGCTCTTTGCTTCGCATTTGCTGCTGCACTCTTCAGTCATGTTTGCCGAAACGCTGCGCCTCTTCACAGGCTGCGCAGATGATGGGGCAAACTTTGCGAGAGGTGGCGAAGCTGTTGACCGAATCACCACGACTCAGTTGCAGTGTGTCATCCCCTCTCCCGAAGAGCGACCATGATGAGACGCAGATGACCAGGCGGGGGTTTGTTTAACCAGAAGTCTCCAGCCTCGTTCCCTTTCTTGATTTCTTTTGGAATCTGGCAGGTTTCGCACTGATCCTCCAACAGACAGTCGCCAGCCTCAGAGAATGAAACGGGAATTTGCCCAAATCCACACTCTTGGGGGCCCATCGTGGGAAAGCATGGTGGGCATGAAAAAGTAGAGCCCTATGCGAGTCGTACGGTAGTAAATAGGAGTCGGCACTCTCAGGCAAATGTGTGTGGGTGGTCTCAAAATCCCCTGTACCAATCCCTGACTCTACTGTTTTGTCTTGCAAGTTGTCAAAAAGCTCCTAGTAGCGTCCTTGTTCCTAGTAGTAAGGCCACAAGCCCCTAGTAGCGTCCTTGTTCCTAGTAGCGATGCCCTTGCTCCTAGTAGCGTTCTTGTTACTACTAAAGGTTCAAGGTGTTTCGTCACACCCAACGTGGGCCGGGCCGGCGCGCCGCCCTTTCTTGACGAGGATTTGGTTTCGCAGTCGACACGGTGCCAGACGAGGCCTGCTTTTCTTCGCGCAATGTGTGGCTACCATGGCCAAATTTGCACCAAGCACTGGAGCGTCAATAGGTTTTGAGTCCCTTGGTCAGGAGCATGAGAAAGAAGAGGAACAGGCAGAGGCGACAGGGCAGTCATGAGGCGACATGAGGTCGATTCACCACAATTCTCCCCAACAAACCTTTGTCCTCTGCTTTCGAAGAACGAAGGACATGATCGACTCAAGTAGTCTGGGTACTTGATCGCACACGAGGAGCAATGCAGGTACAGCCAATCATGGGCAAATCTGAATCCTTCAAACATTTGAATCAGGCTAGCTTCTTGTAGCAAAAGGAACCTAGTAGCGTCCTTGCTCCTAGTAGTAAGGCCAGGAGCCCCTAGTAGCGTCCTTGCTCCTAGTAGCGATGCCCTTTGCTCCTAGTAGCGTCCTTGCTCCTTGTTACATGTTAGTCACATCTTTGGGACAATTCGCTTCAAGCTCTTTGGCCAGCGAGAGCAAACCCCAGATAGGTGGGCAAGTGCCGTTGTGTTTTTACGAGGTTGTGGTGAATATATATATATATAGTATTATGTTTTATGTTTCGTTTATGTTTTCCTGTTGGATTTGAAGGCAAATTTCCCCAAGACTGGGTGAAAGGGGTGTGCACCCTTGGGTGGATCTTCTTGATCGTCTGAATGTTTCTCAGAAAACCTTTCAGAAAATTGTAACAAGGCACAAGGCGAGAGAGAGAGGGAGAGAGATACAGTAATACTTTCTCTGCTCATGTCGCAGCCAGGAGACCCTTGTTCTAGACCCCCATCCCATGGCGGTGGACCCAACAGAAAAGGACAAGGCCAGCCTCGGCCAGAATGATCAGTAGATGAGGAGTTGGTGCAAGTGCAGGAGGTTCTTATATTCTTTTGCTAACACAGATTCCAAGCAGGCTAAACTTTGTTGGCTCAGTTTCAATCTTGGTTCCAAGATGAGAATCGACATGCTGCCGTGACACTGTCGTGCTGCAGACATTTTAGGTTCCAACTTGCACTTCAAGCGCCGAGAAGGTGACGTGACTGTTCAAGCCTTTGCAATGACGCAGCTGCAGGTCCCACAGGTCCAAGCTCCAATTTCTCCCAATTCCACCAGTTCCAGTCCCACAAAGAAGAAGGAGAAAGCGGCGCAAATCCGAAAGAGTTTCCAGAGACCCAAGTTTTGGGTCATGGGCTTCGGTTGGTGTCTTGCAGCATGCGCTGGTTCTGCCAATGTCATTGCTTTCAAGAGTTGGAACCTTTATGCATCCCACGTGACTGGGAGCACATCTGCGATGGCGTTCAGACTTGAAGGCTACCATCAGGGTGAATATGGATCGGAAAGTCTCACAGAGGCATGCCTTTTGGTCCTCTCCTTCTTGCTGGGCGCCTATGCATGTGGCATTTTGATCGACAAGAATCAGGTGCACTTTTTGGGCAAGGCCTTTTATGGTTTGGCTCTGGTGCTGAATTCCACCTTGCTTGTGACAGCGGCATTTCTCCCAGGGGCTTTGCTTCCCACCTGCTTTGTGGCTGCAGCATGTGGTTTGCAGAATGCCATGTGCACCTCCCATTTCGGTGCCATTATTCGGACGACACATGTAACAGGGACTGTAACAGACATCGGCTCAACCTTGGGGCGGATCAGTATGATCTACCTTCGGAAGGGCTGCCGACGTTCAAAGTTGGATGACGTCGAGCGTGCAGAAGTTGGCGTGGATGGTCGAAAGTTGGCGGTCCTTTTTGGACTTTGGAGCTTCTACTTCATGGGCGGGCTCTTTGGAATCTACATGGAAAATATCATCCCAGGGCCACCGCAACGTGCCCTACTGCTCCCTGCCACCTTCACTGGCAGCTTGGGGCTCTTCTACATGGCATGTCGGCAGATCTTGAAGGATTACATCAAAAAGTTGGAGCAAGAACGCTTCGAAGCCGACCTGCATGATGCACATGAAGCCCTGGCGCACATGAACACCCGACTTCACACGCTGGAGCGAAACCACTCGGTGGCGGACTTGGATGAAGAAATGGGACAGATGATCGAGGCTCTTCATGAAGTGGAGGCAGATTTCGAGAACCTCTACCGCACACACAGCCAAATGCAGGTAGGAAGGGAGAGTGCCAAGAGCTCCACTACCAGAGCATGACCAGTGTGAAAGCACCAAATCCCAGCCTGTGCCCACAATTCATGCTCTTCCTAATTCAAGCATTGTGCTAAATGCTGCCGGACAGGCCTAGCATGCAGCTCACACCCAGTAAAGTCATTTGAGATTTTTGAAGTAGCGCCAAGGCAGGTTCTGATTGAGGCCTAAGTGCTTCTGCCAATAGATGCCGAGGCATGTTCATCTGGACAGAGAACGACGGCATGGTAACGCCTGAGCAAGGGCTCTGGGTTCCTGGCGATTTTGACCTTCAGGGAAGCACATCAATCGCTTGGACTCTTAAAAGAAGGGCCAAGACGAGCGATGATGCTCTCTCTCGGGCGATGCGGCAAAACAGCCAAGCCGCCCCTGAGTACTGAAGGCAGACTCATACCCAAACTCCTGTCTGGAAAAAGGGGGGGGGGGCAGTTCTTAGCAGGAACTTGGCCATGACCTTACTGAAAGCTCTTGCGAAGGAGGGGCCTGCTCTTGACTCTTGTCGTAGAGACCTAATTGAACGGGTGACTTCAGATTCTCTCCCACATCATTTGCAGGAAGTCCGCTCGGTGGAGGATGCAGAGGCGCAAATTGCCTTTGAATCCTTTGAAGCAAACGGTGCTCTGAAGAGCCTGAACCACTGGACCAAAGATGGACTCTGGACCAGCCCAACTGGGCTCAAGCGTTTGTCAGGAGAAACCGCTTGAAGAGATCTCCTTGGGTCAGGATCCTGGAGTTACGTTGACAAGAGCGGTCTTGAGGATGCAATCACCGAGGGGAGCAGGAACTTGTTGAAGGTCCAAGCCCCTTTTCATGTTTTTTTTTCCCCAACGCATCCCTGAAGTCATTGGTTTGTGATGTGATTTTTGCATGATATAGATTTGACATGTGAAACGCACAGACTCAGGTTCGGACCGTGCGAGTGGCGAAGGTGCGGTGTGGGAGGGACAAGGATAACATCGCTGGCAGCGCCAAAAAACATCCGTAAAGGTCAAGTACACGTTTTCAAACAAACCGTAGTCGGTGCCACTCAGGTGCTTGATGTTTGTTTACGGAGCAGTGCAAACCAAACACCAAAAATGATGACATCTCAGGCACAGGACGGGCGTGATGCGACCGCATACAGTTGTAGAGTGTTCAACGAGTGCAGTCGTTGGGAAACTCCTGACTGCAGAACGGTGTGAAAGCCGTTGATGGTCGATTCGATTCCGTGGAGAAAAAAGATAACACTGAAGGTTTCATTTTCTCCCTGCATCCTGTGTGTTTGCAGCAGATCTCATGGTTCAGAGAGCGGAAGCTGGCACCTTGATCCCTTCACCTTTGGCATTTGCTCTAACGGTCCTAACGTTTTCGCGTTACTGTAAGGTGCTTTTACCAGAATTGAGTGTAGCAATAGGAGCTTAGACGACACTATCTCTTCTCGGGCCATTCTGCTGTTCGCTTCTGAACTGATTGATTCGGGCGAATTTGGCTGAGCATTCTCACAAGAAGAATTCATGGAGAAGGATGCTTGACCTATTGCAGAGTTGAAGATAGACAGCTACGTTGTGTCCCTGCATTGCTCAAGCGTTCTGAAAGCATTCACTTCAGCAAGTTTCAGAATGATTTTGTTCGTTGATGGCTTTTGTTGACAGTGAGGCATAAGGCCAGATGGAGCTAGCACCGTACGGACATGTTCCACTTCGTGGCCCACACCTACGGCCCACAAGATTACTGCTTCAAAAAGAGGCGTAGAAGATAACAGGTGGACAAGGCTTCGGACAAACCACAATTGATTTGTCCTTTTGCTTGGAAGAAAAAGCCATGCCAAAGAGTTACAACTGTGAGCCCGATGGCTGATGAGCAAGACGCGCCCTTGCCTACTTTTGACACAGTTGGAGGAGATGCAGATGCCAAGGAGCTATCTTTGATCAATGCCCGAACTGGAACACAAAGCCCTTTTCCAACCTTCATACTTCATTTATTTTACTATCCCTTTTAAACTGGCTCGGAGATCCGGAGGGTATTGCAGATCTTGGAGGTTTGGCCTTCTGGATTATTGGTTTGCGAAGAATGAACCGAGCCCTTCGGTGAAGCGACGTATTTTTCAGCCAAGTCTGCTAGGTAAGCGTGACTGGAGCATGTGTCGATGCCAGGACGAAGTGGAGGAAGGTGCTCCACGGAAAAGAAGAAAGGCTGGGGCTTCGTCCACTTCGTCCACTTCGGAGGAGGAGGTGCATACTACTTTGCTGGGGCAAAAGATGTTTGCAGAACTGGGTTATGTAGTTTAGAAGAAAGGTTACTAGCCATGGCCTCCAACCTAATACTGATGGCCTCCAACCTAATAGCGATGGTTTGTTTTGTAGAATCTGGTGTGTCGGAGGCATTGGAGGCTTTGGTTCTTTTCATCCCGGCTGTCGAGGTCCCTTTCGAGGAAAGCAGCTTGCTGCCTTACGAGGCTAAGCTTTGTGAGTCCTACAGAACCTTTGTATGTGGACTGATCAAGAGCCCAGCCACGGAAGCAGGCATCATTGGTGAAGTATTCTTCAGAGTTCACATGCATAGTCATAGTCACGCACAGGAGAATATTTTGTAAGGAGGTGTGCCAGAATTGAGGGAATAAAGCAGCAGAACAAGGGAACTTCAGCTTCTAGGATCGCTTTGTAGTTGTCAGGTTCACCAAAGTCCATTGCAACCAAGATCACTTTCTTTACCAACCCTTGCTATCACAAGGCTCCACCTTTTGAGCTAAAATCTCCGTCACTCTCGTCGCTCTCAGCCTGACGCGGCTGTGGACCCTCCTGAAGAACTTCGGCGGAAGGGTATGATGGAGGAGGCTGGCACGAAGACAATTAGCACAGTTGGAAGGAAATCAGGAGTCGTATGAATCCAGGTCCGTGAGTAATTGGATCTTTTGCTTCATCTCTGCATCACTAAGAAAGTATCCATCTATTGATTTTGTTTTGTTTGGTACACTTTTCATACCTGCTGGTGTGCTGTTGTTGCACGATCATGGAGGTCACAGGGTCGTGCGTTAGCTTTCGACTGGGCTGCTAGGTGATGTGGCGCATGCGCTGGCTGGTGCCTTGCATGGAATATGTTGGCTTTGTTGTTTGAGGGGAGATCCTACTTCCAACCAATACTTCTCTCTGAGCAGGGGATCTGGATCTTCAACAGTTCAGAGGAATTCCATGTGAGGTGGACATGGGGAACAGTTAAACGAAACAACAAGCTCAAGTGAACACAGCTACTGTACCCAGTTCTGCAGAACGTGTACCGATCCGCCATCCGCGCCTCTACTCGCCGGTCTTTTTTGTAGGTCTCAAGGGTGGAGGCCATGGAGCACAAGGAGCCCAAGAAGAAGGAGGTCCGTTTCCAAGCTGTGACATTTAGGAATGGCTGGGATGAGAAAGACAACATAGAGAGACTGAGAAATAGAGAGAGAGAGAGATAGAGTAACAGTAAGAGAAAGTCAAAACAACACCCTGCTTGCAGCCTGAGGCTTTGTCTTTGGGCAATGGATGGGTGCTCATCCAGTCCAATCTGGTTCCGGGAAGGCGACTTTTGGAACGATTGGCCACAGAGAGCAGATTTGTGAGGGAGATCGATGCAGCTTCGGCCACTGCAGATTCTGCTTGAGTTTGGCAGGAGGTTCTACTTCAATATGAAGTGGGGAACCCTAATTTGGGTGTTGGCTTCAATGCCACTTGTGTTCCGTCCAAGAGTCCAAGACTATCTACAAACATACTCCAGCCAATTGCAGCAGTGAGTTGCTCAGTCGTTCCTGTTCTCCTACGCTTTCAAACAGCTGCGTCCTAGTGCTTCGTTTTGGCGCCCAGGTCGGGTGAAAGCACCTGGGAACGACCCTTCTGAGCCGCTTGATGTCGGTCGCTTGCGGGAGGGACATGGAGGAAGACCCTGAGGACGGTCTTCGGTGACGAAGAGGATCCGAAGGTTCCTGGCGCAACGGAGCTGCGGAACTGGGTGTGCGACACTTCCAAGCGCTCCGGCGGCCTTTCAAGAGTTTCCGGCAGCTGCGAGCCAAAAGAAGGGCGAATGTGCAGTGGGCGCGAAGCACTACGGTCTAAGGGCTTCATGAGGGCTTCAAATGCGAACAAAACCACGCTGTTCGAGAGAGTCGCTGAAGGGGACAAACATGCACAAGGTTCCTATTCAGGAAAGCTAGCATTTGCTAGCTGGAGTTGCCTTTGCTGCAGCAACTCGTCAGAGCCTCCGGAGCAAACCTCTCTCTCTCTCTATATATATATATATATATCGGAGTTCGGTCCCTCCGTTTTGGGGAAAGACATTGCCTCTGGTCCGGCCTCCATTCGATTCTCCCCTGGTCCTGGCCCGTTTCTTCGAAGTCGTGGAACCCAAAACAGAAAATCGACTTGCTTTCAAATCCACTCGCATTCTTTGCCGATGTTGCTTGTGGTCCGGTGGCTCAAGAGCAAACGGTTTGGCTCGTTAACGAAAAGCCTCGGCATCATGGAGATGCAGCCGAGCAAGTTGCAGGCAGGGGAAATGTCGGAAATGTGCCGCATGTCAGCTTTTTCTGAGATCAGATCCGCCTTCCTTTCTGCCCCGAAAGGCCACAGAGGCCAGAGAGGCCAGAGCCAAGGCAGGTTGGGTGTAGCTTTCAGCAGATCCGGGGGCCTTCCTCGGTCTTAAAAGCAAGAGGCTAAAGGAGGTCGAAGTACCCACCCGATCCATGGACGCCATGTTCGCAGCATGCTCCCTTTTGTTGGGGCTCGGTTAAGCCAGTCAACAGAGCGCAGTCTCGCTTCAACCAGAAAGGTGGAGTCGTAGGAGGCGGCAGTTCAATCCAAGAACAAGAGCTGGAGGGATTAACACAGAGCTGCGCTTCATAAGGATAAGCCCCGTAGCCTCCCAAACCCAGACCCTTTCGCCGCACTTGCTACATATTGTCAGACTCCATGCGTCTACCGTCTACCTGTTGCAGGTACCCAAACGATGCGAGGATGATGCAGTGGTGCCCACACCGCTCCGCAGGCTGCAAATGGGCGTTTTGCACTTTAGAGGGGAACAGGCTTGCACCCATTTGCTGTGATGGTAGGCGTATGTCTATGTCGAAACACATGTACATCACCCAGAGTTTGTTTATATAGAGACCCAGAGTTAGCTGTTTGACCATACTATGAAGCGTATCCTATCGCCGGATTAGGGCCGTCTTTGGCTTTGGATTCTCGGGTGAAATCACCAAACTCACAAGCACTATCATAATGATGGCCTCCAACCAACTTATTTTGAACTTATACTGCTCCTTTGGCCAAGCGTTCAGCATTGTGGCCCTACCGCCTGAGCGACTTCCTTTCACCAAATGCCAGCTATTTGGCTACAGGCGCTCGGTCTCGCCAGCGGTCCGCAGCTTGGGAGCAGCTTCGTGGCACATTCAAGACATGGAAGGTCAGAATACAGCTCATACTGCCTTCCCCCCGCCAGTGGGTTGGAGGCCACCGCTCTTAGGTTGGAGGCCATCGAGTTAGTTCGCACGCGCCCCGAAACCTTCGAAAAGGGTTGTGTGCTCCAAGGTGGCGGATGTGAGGAGCCACGAGCCCAAAACGATGGAAAGGTGGTGCAAGTCATTACCCATTACTGTGAAGGGTGCATCCCCTAAACCTAGGGGAATGGGTGCCTGGTATTGCTGCCATTTCCTTCACAGTCTTGATGAGGGAGGGTAGTCACCGGGTAGTCATAGCATGTTGTAATCTAAATCTTGGATAGGCAGAACAAAGAGTAGTCCGAGCGGTAGGCAAAACTGCAGAAAAGAGCGCTCCACCGTTCCTAAAGAGCTCTTCTCTTTCCTGACTAGCTCTAAGAGAAGACTTCCATTCACCCCTCCCATGTGGGTCACACCACTGAGGTGAAGCTTTGCCAGCCGAGACGATGGCGGGCCTTGTTGACTTTGATGCAAGCCGTGAATGGTCGTGCTGTGCATTTCTTGCTTCAAACGCAAACGAGTGTGGACGTGCAAAAGCGAGTCGTTTTGCTTCCAAAGGCAGATGCAAAGCGAACGCACAATGGTCCAACAACCACAAAGTTGAATGCGCTAAATGTTTCTACCCGCACAAGCACCTGCACAGGCACCGAGAAAAGAGCTCCCACACCTGCCGCGAGGGTACGCGGCCACCAGAACTGGGCAAGATGAAGAAATGGAGTACTGTAAGTCTTCAAGAATCAACGTGACGTGAGTGGGTCTCAAAATTCTGGGATTCAAAGCACAAGCAGTGCGGAGTTTCATTACTTGCTGGAACATTTTAAGGTGAACATTCACGTAACTAGGTGTCACAAATGTTCAGGTAGTGGTGTGATTCGTGATTCTATAATGGCAGAGAACTGTCCTGGGTTTGGGGTTGCACTGGCAAGTCTGACAGGTTGGGTTTGGCAGCTGGTGTTGCCATGTTGGCCTTTGCTTGCTTCCGACCCACATGGCAAGCCCCTGAGCAACAAACAGAAGACTGTCTGCGATGCAAAGGGGACCCCATCGCATATTTCAAGCGATGCAGATGGTTTGCACTGAAGAGATCCTGCACAGCAAGTTGGTCCAGGGCCCGAAACACACATGTTCTTGCTTGACTGGAAAGACTTAAGGTGGTTTGGTTTGTGAAGATGTGACTGTCCGTCCCAAGGTCCAAAGCTTCAATGCCTTCGCGGCAGGCAAGTAGGGGAGTGGCCAGTGGTCATGTAAGGTTTGTAGGAGTTTGATTGCATTGCATTGAAGTTTCATATTCACTGTGTAGCCTTCCCAGCACCAACACAATTGCCATCACATTGCCATTTTGTTCTGATAGTAAGGCCGGTAAGAGGCTTGAAGGTTGCTCTTGGTCAGGTGATCAGGGAGGCTTTGTGATTTTGCAAGGCTGACTCGAATGACACCAGGAACCCTTGCTTCCATCACGCATTTTGCAGGAGTCTGTATATTATGTTTCTCGTCTCTTTGTCTCATGTGCTTTGCCCCATTGTCCTTTTCCTGCGCCTCGTTTTCATGAACACTATCTTTCCTTCGCCCTCCTCATGTTCTCCTTCCATCCCTGTTTTAGTCTCACTTCCTCGTTTTGTCCTGCCCTTTCCTTCCTTTTGTCTTCCTCACTTTTCTCATTATCTCACTTCAGTGTGTGTTTGGCGTTCTATCAGGACAGCTCTATTATGCTGCTTTTGTTGATTGGCTACAAGTACATGTACATCCATACGATTCTGAAGACTTTCTCGTATGACATCCACAGTAGACTACTACCTGCCTGCCTGCCTGCCTGCCTGCCTGCCTGCCTGCCTGCCCACAACCTCTTGTGTTTTCAATGATTTCAAGGTACCTCTCAGGTTTGTAGGCAATTTTTTTGTGGATTGTTCTAGTTATAGATTTGCAGCTTCGTGCGGACTCTGCGAGCCTATACCAGGTGCGCAGCCGGGTGCTGAGACTATGAGAACCAACAGGGCGAACTGGGTTGTCCGCTGCGTTCTTTGCTAATGGGGGTATTTTCTAGCATGCCAGCATGCATGGCAAGTAGACTGATAGACTGAGACTCTTTGGTGGGGCATCCCTCACTGAGAGAGACCCTGTTTTCACCAGCTGCCATCTCCAGGGTATGGTTATTTTTTCCTTCATCCGGACCTATGGTCAGATGACGTCAGATGAGCAACCGCCAAAACGTGCAATGAGGTCGTGCTAAATAGTGCCTTTTGGCAGACGCTCAGAAAACGGCACGGTCTAGCAATTTGCAAATCTTCCGTCTATGAATCAATACCGAAGGATATCCAGGGGGAAAACTGATGATATCCAGTGGACACAGACCCCAACAGTGGTTCTGCCATGTCGAATGTCGCCCGATCTTTGCACGCACACGCCGAGTTTGAGGCATGGCCACAGTGGAACCAGAGCCTGAGGCGAATGATGCGGGTTTCGGGGTGGGATCCCAGTCGTTTTGTCACCCAAAACCTGTGCAGAACAAACCATGTAAAAAAAGCCAACTTCACCAACAAGCTCCCCTGCTCGAACCTCGTGAGGATTTCCCTCTCGCCATGATAGTTGTTTCAGCTTCACGGACACACACACACACATTTTCATTTAGATGCCTCATTTAGATGCCTCATTTCTATGATGTGTCTCTCTGTGGGGTGAGAGAGACTAAACTGCGTGAAGTCGGAGCTTCGCTGCTGTTCCGGCGGATCATCCGCAGGAGGGCCCCCGCTTGTCGATCCTGACGCGTGAAGCCTTAGCAGGGATGCCTAGCAAAAGGTGGTCAGCGGAAGGGATGTCTTCAGCAAAGGACTCACGTCTTGTGGTGTGAGGGCCGCATTCCACGCTGCCAGGAGTGCCCAAGCTTAAAAGCTGACATACTTGACGTTCCCGCCTCATTGGGCAGTGGTCACGAGGGAATTGATTGAACAGGTTTCGGGAAAACTGCAAAACAAAAAAGATGTGCTGTAGAACAGAGCAGACGTCTAGACGAAGGATCCCGCAGAGAGGCATAGTTGAGATGCATGCAATATGTCTCATTGATGCTCGCTGCTTTCTTCGTTGGAGTTTGGGACGGAATCGCAAATCCCTGCTGCATCGTGACAGCAAGGTGATTGCTGGTGCCCCATACGAGTTTGGCACGATGGAGGACCAAGAGGCGCTCGGCAATCGGTGTGGAAGATATGCCTTGCACCGGCTAGCGGACTAGCCTTTGCTTCTGACATAATGCGGTTGGTGAGGATTTTGTTTGGACTTGAAGGTGACATGAATTAGTGAGTCTTCATATTCTTTTCGCTTGCCGGGTTGAGCTGAGCTATATCTTGGAGACCATTGCTCGCCACAGCTCTTGGCAATTGCCAGTCCAGATTGGTACCTATGGC